AAGGCAGTCGCTTAACCAACTGAGCCACCCAGGCGCCCTTGGCATCTGTTTTTATGGAGTGTGTGTGGCATGACTAGTATCGTTTGGTGCCACTGCCTTGATTTGTGCTAAGTCGCCGGCGGTCTTACCCACCATTACCTGTGCAGCATTAATACAGATGTCATTCTGCAGTGAAAAAGGCAGATGACATCAGAGTATCATGATAAAATAGTCTGGCACTCGCAGAGCTTCTGAAAGGGTCTTGGGGTTCCCCCAAGAGTGTGTGAACCGTGGTTTGGGAACCATTGCCCCAACTCTGGTAATTTAACCTGGCTCTCAATACCAGCTCTAGGTCAGTAGCTTCTAAACCTGGGTTTCTTTGGAATTCTAGACTCTTGGTTTCTAGGACATCTCTCATTTCCCTTCCTTTTCTAATCTCCTTTGCTTACTGTTCCTCATTTTCCTGATACCTAAAGCATTTGAATGCCCCAGGGCCCAGCCATGAGGCCTCTTTTCCACCTGTTCTTTCCCTAAGTGAGCTCACCCAGTTCTCCCAGCTGCCTGGGAGATTTAGGCCCCTCTCCAGGGTTTCTTGCCTGAGCTCCTGATTCATCTCGTAGGAGGCATTCAGCAAATGTTTGTTGTATGGACAGACGGACAGATGCACATTTGAAGGGTTGATTTGGATGACAGGAGACTGATAACTTTCATTTGAAATGCCCTTCAGAGATGCCTGCTTCCTCAATTCACATTTCTGTGTGTGTGTGTGCCTCCATGTGTTATCATTTAATCCCTTGCTAAGTTTCTGTACTGTGTTCATCAAGAACTTCAGAGTGAATAGTTCTTAAATATTTCCCCCATTGCTGTTCATTATCTAAGAGGCCTTAGCTGAGAAGAAAAGCACAGAAGGCCTGTGGTTCTGCCTGGTGTGTTCTCTGCTGTGGTGGGTTTTTTTCCTTTTTTTGCAAATTAATGGGAATCAAAGGTATATGTTGTGGGTGTTCACTTGGTACATCTGGGAGACCAGTTATTTCTTGGTTTATTCTTGTAAATCGTTTGTTGTAGAAAGAGTAAATGTGAGTAGAGTAAAAGAGTAAAAGGCAAGAACTTTATTTCTGTAAACCTTTCAGAAGGTTTCAGAAAGGATCCAAAATAATTTCAATTTTAGCAATATTGCGATTTTTTTTCCTGTTTTTAAGATTGACTTCCAAACTTGTATTTTAAATTTATTGATTGCAAGTGTTTTCGTGACATAAACACTGTTCTGCAGCTTGTCTCCTGTGTCCTTGCCAATAAAACAGGGGTAGAATATTTTAATCTTGCGCTTTAGCACCAGATTCAACATCTTTCCACAATGCAAGGCCTATACGTTATGTTGGAATCACATCCTTGCTGCCTCAGACCTCTTGTTTATCCCCCCCTGGTGACTGACACCACTTCCCACACACTCAGCCAGAAACCCAAGCTCTTCTCTTTAGGATTTCTGTCCCTCAGTCCCTTAAGACCCCTTAGTGAATACCATGCTATTGACTGTGCCTCTCATAAGCTCTTGGAATGTGTTCCCTCCTTTCAGTTTCTACTGCTCCCACCCTCTGGGGCCACTACAGTCACCTGCTTACAGGTTTTAGGCTTCTGACCTGGACACTTCCAGTCTGTCTTTCTAGCTACAACTGCAGGACTGGTCATAATCCATCCAACCACACCCACGACCATCCTTTATAGAAGGAATGACAATGTACAGGATCTCTCCCTCCCCCTCTGCCCCTCTCCCTCTCCCTGCTCACACTGGCTCGCTCTCTTTCTCTCAAAATAAAATAAATAAAATCTTAAAAAAAAAGCCAAAAAACAGGGATTAGTTAATTGTGGCCCATATCCAAATGCCGTCCAGGTTGGAAAGGGTAAAAATGAAGCAGAAGAATATATGATAGATTATGTGGCCTCCAAAAGCTAAAATATATATTGTCTTACCCTGTACAAATAGTTTGCAGACTCTTGGTGTTAAAAAAAAAAAAAAAAAGTCTTGAGGCACCTGGGTGGCTCAGTTGGTTAAGCGTCCAACTCTTGATTTTGGTTCATGACCTCAGGGCCATGGGATCGAGCCCCGCATTGGGCTCTGCCCTGAGCGTGGAGCCTGCGTTAAGATTCTTTCTCCCTCTCTCTCCCCACCTCTAAAAAGTAAAAGTCCCTAACTTGTTCAGGGATAGGACTTTTTTAGAATAATATAATTCATCTTTTTCAAGGAAGAAGTTAGCATTACTGATAAAATGTTTCAGTGATTTTCTTGATAAACTGATAGGATTAAGATTTGTTCTCAGAAACCAGTCTTCCACCTACTCACTTGACTGTCAGTCAAGAATCTACTGTTCTCAACTAAACATTCTTTCTGCATCTAGTCTCTAGTCTATCAATGATTGTATAACCATTTTCCCCTACAAAATGTCCATACTGGGGCACCCGGGTGGCTCAGTTGGTTAAGCATCTGCCTTGGGCTCAGGTCATGATCTCCGGGTCCTGGGATTGAGCCCTGTGTCAGGTTCCCTGCTCAGCGGGAAGCCTGCTTCTCCCTCTTCCTCTGTGGTCTCTGTCTCCCTCTCTCTCTCTCTCAAGTAAATAAATTTTAAAAATTAAAAAAATAAAATGTCCATACTGAGAGTCTTTGGATTGGCTTTTAAGAGGTCTTTTCCTTTGCATTAGGATTATAATAAAACTTTGATGTATGCTTATAACTAAAACTATTACACTTTCTTTTTAAAACTGGTCGCAGTTTTGGAGTTTATGATTTGTTTGGGTTTTTTTTAAGATTTTAGTTTTAGGTAATCTCTACACCCTATGTGGGGCTCAAATTTACAACCCCTAGATCAAGAGTCGCACACTCCACCAGCTGAGCCAGCCAGGCGCCCCTGGTTTTGGAGTTTTAGAAAAATTCTTCCGGAAACATGCAGACAACAGAAGAAAGAAAGAAGAAACAGAAGAAAGAAAACAGTTACCTATAAAAGAACCACAACAAAAGACTTGAGACTTCTCTTCTGTCACACTAGATGCCGAAGATAGCATCTCTGAAGGAAAATGTCGTGACTCCAGATTCAGCCAAGTGAATACTGTCAAGGGCAAAAACAGCAGAAAAAGTATTTTCAGATACACGTAGACTCAGAAAAATGCCCACATACCTTTTCTGGGAAAGTGACTTAAAGTTGCATTTCAGCTACCTGGGGGGATGTAGGAAGATAAACTATAAAACAGAGAAGTTGTGGTTTAAAAAGGACTGGCCATGAGCAGTCGAACCATTTAATCTCAGAGTTAAGTTTAAATAACTCATTGTAGTTATAAATATTAATGAAAATGTGAAGAACAGTACTGTTGTATTTGGAACCACCTCCTTTCCTACTCAGATCTAAGAATCCCAGAGTGTCTCAAATGTGATAACTGAATCCAGGAGGGCTGGGTGGTAGTGACAAGGAGCACACAGAGGAAATGACCGAGGAACAAATATGAGAGTCTCCGAAATTCTAGCAATTCCCCACAGGAAGGAGCTAATGCAAGGAGGTGCAGGTAGCCCATAAAAAATCAAATTCCCTTGAAAGGCTTCCTCTGATTCTTGAAATTCAGATGAGCACAAGCGAAACTGAGAACTATCTGTATAAGGGACAGCTGAAGCTAAGCGTAAGGCCGGGTTCTGGGACCCTGAAGAGAGCTTCCAGTGACAGCAGAAACGTGACAGGGACTGGAAATACTCTGTTCCTAAGGCCAACTTCTTTCTCTGTGGTTGTCCTGTTGAAAGGAGTCCGGCGTCGGTTGTCTGTGGTATCAGCGGGCCTACTGTTTTTCCCCTCTGCAGTTCTACGAGAAACCAAACTTACGTCGATCATGGGAACGTGGAAAATATCTGTAAAATAACATTTTACAGATAGATGATTACAAGTGAAAAATTACAAATATATGTTCATGATGAAAGACACTGAGGGAACATAGTGAGATGCAGCATGGTGGTTCAGAGGACTTGCCTCTGCACCATGCCTTCCTCTCTCTCTTGAGGGCAGCACATAGCCCTTTGCCTTGCACAGGGGTCTCTTCCGTGTAAGCTAGAATTAGTTCTACCCCAGCTGGTTTCTCTTCTCTGTGTAGCTGGGCAAGAGAACTTTCCACTGCCCCTGGGGGTGGGAGAGAGGGTGCAGAATATACCCTCTGGGTGTTCCTGGCTCCCACAGCCATGGTGTTTTTCTTGCCTGATGACAGTTCAGCCCTCCGTGCTCTGTTCCGTTATGTCGGCTCAAAGGCAGACAAATTCCGCATGTTTCAGGCAGGCCTGTGGCACCTTCGCTCAGTTTCCAAGGCAGATGCATATGTCCCCTACTTTTTTTTTTCTTGTGGCTTTTTCAGTGGGAATCGGGTGGGCCTTGTTTGGGGAGGGATTGGTAACACCACCTGTGTTCACATCTCCATTCTGCCCCAACATTCTCCTATTCTCCTATAAAGGTCTCTGCAATAAGAGTCTCATGATTAAACATTCCTTTTATCAAAACTAAATTTTTAGAAGCTTTTCTGTACACTTTGCCTTTCCTTGATCATCTGATTTACATGTATTTATTATTCTAGGTTGGCGACAGAGATGATTCTAATCTTTATATAAATGTGAAGCTGAAGGCTGCTGAAGAGGTAAAACCGGAACAGCTGCGCCATCACCCCCATTCCCCCCCCACCCAGCTCTTGTCGGTGACCCCTTGTCCTTTACACCCCTCCCTGTAAAAACTGTCATTGGCCACCACAGACTTGAGTTTCTCAATTTTGCAAGTCAGAAATGCAGGACTTAAGCTGCAGTCTCTGGTTTGCACTTGAATGTTTTCTAATCAGTGATCCACAGACTTCCCAAAGAGCAGGGAGAGTGGACATGAAATTGCTAGAGTGCAGTGGTGACAGTGAACAAGGATGAATGGGTCAAAGTGAGAGACTCATTCTTCAGAACATATGAGGCTGAAATGGTGACTAAGGCCACCTGATTTGATTTAGTAATCTTGGTTAAAAGAAATGGGCCCATGTCTCATGTACTCTTGCCATTGACCTGTTTTAAATGTTCATTTTTGCAGATTGGGATCAAAGCCACACACATTAAGTTACCAAGAACTGCCACAGAATCTGAGGTGAGCTGTGATAGATTGATTGTTAAGAGGACAGCTAAAGTGCGTTCCTGTCTGGCTTTTGGGTTAGTGGAATTTTAGGGATTGGTACATTCACCATGGGAAGGACCTTGAGGAAATTCTTTCTTCACAGACTCTGCCTCTGGAAAATCTTTGCAAACACCCACAGAGTAAATGGTGCCGTCCTAGGGTATGGCCGCTTCGTACTCAGTGCGTGATCTCAGCATCATGTGCTTCAAATCCCCTGCAGTGTTCATTAAAAACTGATCCTGGGCCTGTAGCTATTTGCCTTTTAAAAAAACAAATATGGAGTCGGGGAAAAAAAAAAAAAAACCCAAATATGTATTCCATTTCTATGATGTTCAAGAATAGGCCAAACAAATCATCAGTGATTAAAGTCAGAACTGTGGTTTCCTGAGGGTGGAGGGAGTAACCGGGAAGGAACAGGCGAGGAAAAGAACTTTCTGAGGTCATGCAGATGTCCTACATCTGCGCCGTCCAGTGGGGTAGCTACTAGCCCCCTGCGGCCATTCAATTAAAAGGAAATGCAATGTAGAATTCGGTTCCTTGGTTGTGCTCGCCACGTTTCAAGTATTCATTCACCACTACTGTATGGCAAAGTGCGCATGATAGAACATTCCTGTCATCACAGAAATCTTGACTCGCGTGAGTAACATGGGTATTACTGTTGAAGTTCTTATTAGCTCTTTGATGAATTTCTTACCAGACACTGAAGATGACATTTGGTGTTAGAGTTGCTCTCGGGTTCAAGGGGAGGTACATTCTAAGAGGACTACAGTTAAACTCCCGGGGGAAGATAGAGCGACTGAAAAGTGTTTTCCCCGTCTTTTTGGTTTCTGTGTATTCTACAATTGTGTGCGGTGTTACTTTTAGGTGTTAAAGTACATTACATCATTGAATGAAGACCTCACCGTACATGGTTTCATAGTACAACTGCCTTTAGATTCAGAGAACCCCATTAACACTGACGCAGTGGTCAATGCGATCATACCCGGAAAGGATGTGGATGGGTGAGTGTGCCTGGGCTCTCTATGTCACGTTGCATGATTCTGACTGTATTTCTGTTTTGGGAACAAACCATATGTGCTTCTAAAGATTACAGTAAAGACATCTAATTACTTCCATTTCCCCCTTCATTGCTCTCATTGTTTTAGGTTAACTAGCATCAATGCCGGAAAACTTGCTAGAGGTGACCTAAATGACTGTTTCATCCCTTGTACGCCTAAAGGATGCTTGAAACTCATCAAAGAGACAGGTGAAAACAAGGGGATGAAAACAAAGCACCATTTCTTGGGCCTGGTTTAGACACGTGGAGGCAAAGAGGAGGTACCCTGTGGGCCCTAAATAAAGGGACTTGATTGGCACAAGGACCTGTCAACTGGGAGCTTTACCTAAATTCTCAATTTTCTCAACAGCTCTATGAACTAGGTACTATTATTGCTCAACAGCTTGAGAAAACAGTCTCAGAGAGATGCAGAACTTGTCCAAGAAGTAGCAGAGGCAAGATTTGAACTCAGGGTTACTTGAGTTCAAAGAAATTTATTTTTTATGAAAAAGTAACTTATCAAATAATAAGGATTCAGATAAAGGGAAAAGTCCCAACCCCCAAAATGAGCCCTGAGACTCCATAATAGTTTGAGGACTCGACAGATGGCTGGAAACAGATCTCTTGAACAGTTGGCCATGCTACCCCATTACCTAGTCAACATCTTGGTATTTTAATTTCATCATGAACATTTTTTGCAGAGGTTATTTTTTACAAGGAAATGTGTCCTATTTAAAGGAAGTGGATCAGAAGTTTTAAGTGGAAAGTGTTGGCCAGTGTAAATGAAAGTTTTCTGTGGTTGGAAGAAAAGGTCTAGTTATAAGCCCCGGGACAGTTATTACCATTTAGTCCTATAACTAAATTTATACTCTAGCATATTTAGCAAATTACAACTTGATAGGAACAAATCCCCTGAGCCACAGCAGCTCTAGGCTTCCCACTTATTAATAGTGAAGCTATTTGCCCTAACATAGCTTCAGGTCCTTTGCTGAATCCTAAAAAGTATAGAGTAAGGTACCTTTTAAATACTTCACACTTGGAGGGCTTGACTTCTAGATGTTCATCATACTAACATTATATAAAAGCTTAGCTTTTTTGAATAAGATGTTATACAAGAAGCACAATTTGAACACGGTCTGCCTTGGGGCGCCTGGGTGGCTCAGTCGGCTGAGCATCCAACTCTTGGTTTCTGCTAGGCTCATAATCTCAGGGTCATGGGATCAAGCCCCATGTCAGGCTCCATGCTCAGTGTGGGGTCTCCTTGGGATTTTCTCCCTCTCCCTCTGCCCCAACCCCTGCTCGTGGTCTCTCTCTCACATGAATAAATAAACCTTAAAAAAAATTTGAAATAAACACAACCCGCCTTAAGCAAGAGCTCACTTCAGCAGGACTGGGTATAGGGGCTCAGGCGGAGTCTTCAGGATCTTATCCCTGCTTGCTTCTGTGTGGTGGCTCCTTCTTCAGCTCTCCTTGGTGGCCCAGAGCAGATCTCATCGGTCGGGGCGGAAATGTGGGTGAGCACCCAAACCATCTCTGTTGAGTAGAGTATGTCAGTCCTAGAATGGACATTGTGATAGTACCAGAAGAAGGGATGCTGAGTAGACAAAAAGAAATCTTACAGCTACATTTAAAGTTCCCCTTTATCACTGCCCTGCAAATAACCCTATAGCTCAGGCCCTGTGCCAAAAGAGAAATGCAGATGAGGAACTGCATAAATGAACTTAACAGAGCTAGAAAGACTTACTGAGACTCCTCTAATGTCCTTTGCTTTCCTCCAGCCCAGCACAGGCACGCTATTTGTTATAACTACTTTTCCCACGTAAGTAAATCTACTGTCTTCATCCATATGGCCGTTTAGCCGTATGTCAGGGTTTCTTTTTTCTTTGAGTGTAGGTTTTCTTCCCACTCTCCTATGACTCAATGAATGGATCTTGGCTTAGGCTGCTCCCAAAAGCCCACAGCAAGAAGGACACAGTACAAGTCCCAACTTGTAACTGAAATCCTAGAGTTGAGAGTATTATTGCCAAGGAAGGAATGTTTTTAGGAAGATTTCTGGTTGATGCTAAGCACCCGTTTTTGTGCACTTGTTCTGAATTTTCCCATTTCGGTGGCATGTGAAGAGGGCGGCTTCTCCCAATACTCTCACTCACCCTGGCTCTTCTTTCAGGGGTGCAGATTGCTGGAAGGCACGCGGTCGTGGTCGGGCGCAGTAAGATAGTCGGTGCCCCCATGCATGACTTGCTTCTGTGGAACCATGCCACAGTGACCACCTGCCACTCCAAGACTGCCAATCTAGGCGAGGAGGTAAGGGGTCCAGAGTGCAGGGGGAGAGGGGGGTGTGTGTGCGTGTGCACACGTGTGTGGTAGGTCTTCCCACATAGTGGGAACAGCTAACATTTAAGTGCCAGACACTGCCATGTACTTTACCTCATTCGATATTTCACACTGAACCCCTCTTGCCATCTCTTGTTTCTTGTCTCATCTTACATGATAAAGAAACAAATTTCGCTTACAAAACTTGCCCAAGTCCTGTAGCTCTTGTTCTGATCGTATTCTCTCCCTAGCGGCCTGCCTTGTGGGAGATAGGGACTAGCGATACAGAAACTGGGATGGAGCCCCGCAGCCAGATCGCGGATGTGTAACACAGTGGTGGCCTCAGAGGTCAGGTGCTTCAGAGGGGGCATGTGGACAGCGGTCCCGTGACATCTGTCACATCTTGTTCTTGACCCTGCCTCAGATTCCTGGGCCCGAGGATTCTCACACGTACCTATCCATGTTGATGGCGCACCTTCTCTTTTAATGCTCCCCAAGCAGTGTTCTGCGGGAATTGCTAGTCCCCATAGTCCATAGGAGAGGGGGCAGTCTCCCAGCGTGATAATTCAGAGCCGGGCCTATGGCTCCAAGCGCGTGCCCATCCCCGCCCCGTGTTCTTTCATCACATTTCCCGTTCAGGAAGATGGCTCATACCCGGAGCGTTTTGGCCTGTGCAGGAACAAGCACAGCACAGGCAGGGCCGTCAGGGACCGTGTGCGGCCCCGCTCAGAATAGCTGATGGCAAGGAGCGGTTTCGTACAAAGCTTACTCTCTTCCACTTCTAGGTTTCTTTCTTTTTTTAATGTTCTACCGTGTCATTTCTGAAGTCAAAACCCTCTTTCCCTAGATAAATAAAGGTGACATTCTGGTGGTTGCGACTGGTCAGCCGGAAATGGTGAAAGGGGAGTGGATCAAACCCGGGGCAATAGTCATCGACTGCGGGATCAATTATATCCCAGGTGAGCGCTGCTGGAGAACGAAGGTCGTTTCTGGAGGTTGGGTGGGGGGGGCAGAGAACAGTGTCTGGGTCATTAAAGGAAGCCTACGTGAGAACCCCTTGTCCCCTTTCTGGCGGGAAGAGCTAAGGCTCAGAGCAGGTGTCTTGCCCGTGGTGTAGACAGTTAGTAGACGGCATCGTGACCAGCAGGACAGCAGAGCCCAGGATTTTAGCCACTGTACTGGGCCTTTCCCGGAATGACTTTGTCCAAGGAGGGGGTGGGAGAGGCAGATCTCTCACTCTCCCTTCATGTACAGATCAGCCTTTGTTTTTAACAAAGAATGGCTGGATTTAAAATATAGTGTCATCTTTACGGACTGCTGTGTAATTCCAGGAGAGGGCCTCACCTCGCCAGGAGTCTTCTAGGTGGGCTTTACAACGAAGACGTTGGACCCAGCCTCTCCTAGGCAGCGGGGAGCAAGCCAGCCCATTATCCTTCCCTCCCAGTCAGTCCCTATATCGGATCGGTTTTTTGTTTTTGTTTTTAATTATTTATTTATTTGACACAGAGAGAGACAGCTAGAAAGGGAACAAAAGCAGGGGGAGCGGGAGAGGCAGAAGCAGGCTCCTGGTTGAGCAGGGAGCCCGAAGCGGGGCTCGATCCCAGGACCCTGGGATCATGACCTGAGCCGAAGGCAGATGCTTAACGACTGAGCCACCCAGGAGCCCCGGATCGGTTTTTAAATATCATAAAGTTTTTCCTTTCTTCTGTTGCCGGTGTTCCCTGGGAGCACTACCCTCTCAGGTGGATGCATGGCTGTGAGCTGCTTACTGGTCTCCCACCGCCTGCTGACTCCCACTCACAGCCATCTGCATGTTCTTGCTGTGTTCGTGGGTCTTGATGTGGAGCGTCGTCCTCCCACGTTACTTGTCAAACGGCTTAGCCCCACACGAGTTTCAGCCGCCTCTGGGCCTTTGTTCTCACACCACTTGGTGAATCCCTGTCTTGAACGGTTGTAAAGTGGACCCCGTGCCCTTCTCTTCATATGCCTTGTTTGTCCTCTGCAGCGTTTACACCTGAGTCCTCAGTGCAATAGGATGTTCCTTCATCGTGAAGTTCTCAAACATAAAAGTTCACGGGGTGATACAGTGAATACTTGTATACGTACCTCGCAGATTTGAGAAAAGAACAGTCTTTAATTAGATCACTGTTTCTGTGCATTGGACACCACTGCAGGCCTTGGGCTACATGGTCAGATAAAGCTCGACTTTGATCTTCCTTCCCACCTTCTCTCTGCCCAGAATGCCCATTCTTCTTTCTAAACTTGGTCTGATTTCCCTTCAGTAAGGGAGAATCTCCTTCTCTCCCGCCTCGCCCTCCTGGAGAACTGGGTGTCACTTTCATTGTGTGTGGCGTTCTGCGCTGTCCTCCCCGTGGGGCGTGGTCTCTGCACTAGCCTGTCTGGCTTCCTGCCTTCTAACTGCTGGCACTCAGCACCTGTTGAATTGTCAAAGGACTTAGAGCGAGAAGATTGTTTTTTCTCCCTTCCCGTCTCAGATTCAGAGCATAGACACTAAGCTGCCAGGGACATTAGTCACTGTCAAGCCTTCACCAGTTTTAACCTCCCTCCCACTCTCTCTACCATGCTTTTAAGACAGTAGCTCATAATTGATCACTCATTTTCTTGTAGTGTAATTATCTAATGGGTGATAAAGAAATTGCTCTCCTACAATTCCTCACTTTGAGTACTTGTGATATAACATTCAGGCTCATTCTGTTTAAAACCTTACATTTCCTGTATCATATTTCTGCTTTTGGCTTTTTTTTTTTTTTTTGGACTAGATTTGAGAGATGGAAGAAAAAAGCCTGGGTGGGAATCTTGAATCTTACAAATAGGTATAAAACGTTCACTTAAACATGAAACTCACCATCCTGTTCACATTTATTCTTCACCTAGATGGTGAAATATGAAAAGACCAAATCAATATCTGGTCAGCTGTATTTTTATTGATCTGAGGTATATAGGTAAATAACTTTCGATAAGGCTGGATTTTATTGTCTCTTCCAATTATCTTTATTTATTTTATTATTATTATTTTTTAAAGATTTTATTTATTTATTTGACACAGAGAGAGAGAGATTGCTAGAGCAGGAACACAAGCAGGGGGCGTGGGAGAGGGAGAAGCAGGCCTCCCGCCGAGCAGGGAGCCCGATGTGGGACTCGATCCCAGGACCCTGGGATCATGACCTGAGCCGAAGGCAGACGCTTAACGACTGAGCCGCCCAGGCGCCCTATCTTTATTTATTTTTAAAGATTTTATTTATTTATTTGATAGAGAGCGAGCACAAGTAGGCAGAACAGTAGACAGGAGAGGGAGAAGCAGACTCCCCGCTAAGCAGGGAGCCTGATGTGGAGCGGCTTGATCCCAGGACCTTTGGGATCATGACCTGAGCCAAAGGCAGACACTTAATCGACTGAGCCACCCAGGTGCCCCTCCAATAATCTTTAGTAAGCCAAGCAGGAAGAATACTTTCACGTGTTTCTCAGGCTAGTACTCCTGCTCTGCACTTGAATCTTAAAAGTATTCCTTTTTCCCCCCCCCAAAAAGAGTACATACCTTAATTCATTCTAAATTTGGCAAATGGCTTAGGATGTTATCCCTGAAGGGACCATGCAAATGATTTAAATAATCAAAATATCATTCAGGATGTGGTCCAGTTATGGAACATGATGCCTTGAAAGTGAACACTTGCAAAGAACAGTTTTTGGTTCTTCCAGGGCACCCACTGGTCTGTAACTCAGTGATTGGACTTTATACCTGTAATTCCCAATGAAAGAGGAATTCTAGGGCTGGGGTAGATAACTAAAATGTTTATTGGTTACTGAAGCCACACACTTAGATTGAGAAGTGGTCACTTTTTCTGTTGACCACATCATACTTTCCATGAAACACTGGATATGTACCAGAGGGCACTCAAGTCAACCACGATAGTGTTTGCTGAAGGAGCAGAACTGAGCTCTTCTCGTGCGGCAGTTAGTTGTGCGGTAACTGATATGTCTCCTGTATGTGGAGAAACTAAAATCACTACCATGAATAAAGAGAGGTGCAGTGTATTTTAAGCTAATGTCTGTGTTAGACTCTTGAGACCTGCACAAAGGACAGACCCTTAACCATAGCTCCTTGGCGTTTTGAAATGACTCCAGGGTTCTGAGAGGAAATGTCCGGCTATAGCTTGCTACTTTATCATTTAGAAACCTGACACTACCCCTAAGGAGCTCCTTATAGTACATATAGAAAACATCTTCTGTATCTAGGATGGGAAGAGAAACCTTTATGTTTAGAGAATGCTTTTTCAATTTCATGAATGTGCACGATCTCTCGCTTGATTCTCCGCAAGCTTGTGAAATAGTGTCAGTCCTTCTTGTCATCTTTGGACTTCCGATCAGTAAGGAGCCCACAGGGGCTGAGGACTGGCAGTTAGTAGAAGAGCTGATCCTAGAACTTCGGTCTCTCAAGTCTGACTCTTTGGCTACACCCTAAAGTTGGCTCTCTGGTTGTGGTGATCCGCTCAAAGAGAAGTGGTGAAATGGCTAAGATCCTCCCAGATCCTGCCTTGGGAGCCTTAGAGCTGCAGGGCTGGGCCTGTCCCCCAGCCCCTCCCGCAAGTGCACTGAAGCCAAGTGTAGGATGTACTTTGTGTGAGTGAGCAGTGATGCATCACTGGGTTTTGTTCTCTTGAATAGCTATTCTTTGCTGGTAAGATTTGTAGTTGTTCTTGTATCCTTTTAAGGGAAGTGTAATTATATTCTTTGCCTTTTGCATACATTTAAGTAGCTGCTTGTCTCTGGAATTGGATGTTGGATTGTTCCTCCAGCTCACACATGGAGCTTACAAATGCTGACAGTTGCTGTAGAAACGGTATCTGGCAGCTGTGACATAGTCGGAGCTTTGTGCTCCCAAAAAATTCCTTTGTAGGCTTTGGCAAATTAACATTTTAAAAGGCACTCATTATGTACTGGGTAGTTGGTTTTAAGAATAAAAAACACTTGGTATTTTATTTGCCACTTAGTGCAAAAGGATTCTCCTGGTTCTGAAAACCCCTTAAGCATCTTGTGAATTTTTGCAGGTAAAATAAGTTCCTACCTCGACAATAACAAACACCTGTCATCTTATCGCTTTGAAGTAAAATAGGTGCTTGAGCCCTGATGGGACTCTGAACTCTACTTAGTTTTTGGCACAAGCTATGATAATTGATCACTTAACTTGGAAATGAACACCAGAATTACGATTCTGAGACCTTTTTTTGATTTTTTCCCCCCCTTGACCAGATGACACAAAACCAAATGGGAAAAAAGTGGTGGGTGATGTGGCCTATGATGAGGCCAAAGAGAGGGCAGGCTTCATCACTCCTGTTCCTGGTGGTGTGGGGCCCATGACGGTGGCAATGCTAATGCAGGTGCGTGTGAGTAAGTTTCTCTACTGGAGGTTAACTGGATTTAGCATGGCGATCACTTCGCAATATATACAGATACTGAATCATTGTGTTGTATACCTGAAACTAACGTTATAGGTCAATTAGACCTCCATAAAAAAGTTTCTGTAATAATTGTAAAAAGCTGACGGGATTCAAGTTACTGCTTTTTTCCCCAAGTAGAAACTTACTCAGAAGTAAGGATGTGAATCTGTTGGAGAAAAAGAAGGGACAGTTAGAACAGAGATAGAGAATCAGTCATACTAATAGAGGAAGGTAAGGATGGAACAATTCGAATTTACTTTGGAGTAGAAGAAGCTCAGAAAAAGCAAAGTGCAAACACACAACTTTGCTAGGTGTGCTTTGTCTTGCTTGCCCTTTTTAATACAAACATCAGCTGCAGGGGAGTGAGGCAGGCAGCCCAGGGCTCTGTAGCTGCTTGTAGATTCTTGCTTAGGATTGAAGCATGTTTATAGGTGGATCATAAAGCTGTTCATTTTGTGGATAAAGTGGAGTGACCTGGGACTTGGAATTGAAGTGGAGGTTAAAATAATCACTTCTTCTAATAGAAGTTCCATTTGTGACATTTCGTTTAGAGCACAGTAGAGAGTGCGAAGCGTTTCTTGGAGAAATTTAAGCCAGGAAAGTGGATGATTCAGTATAACAACCTTAACCTCCAGGTTCCTGTTCCAAGGTAAAAATAAAATTTTGCTGGTTTAAAACTTTGTGGATTATCTGTGTTTAGCTGATGGATACCATGGCAACTATGTGCATGCCCCTCTCCAGAAGCACCATCGGGGGTCAGGGAGGGTCATTCCTAGGATGGGGTTAATTAAATTCAGTGAGTTAAAGATTGATACATGTTTTCTGTATTTTTTTTTCTGTATTTCTTTTAAGTGACATTGATATATCACGATCTTGCAAGCCAAAGCCCATTGGCAGCCTGGCTCGGGAGATTGGTCTGCTGTCTGAGGAGGTAGAATTGTATGGTGAGACAAAAGCCAAGGTTCTGCTGTCCGCACTGGAACGCCTGAAGCACCAACCTAACGGGAAATACGTGGTGGTGACCGGGTAGGCTGGTTCTTCCTTTGCTAATCGAACCTTCATCCTGATTGCCATTACCAAAGGTTGCATTTGCTCTCACCATATATATGTGAAGGTTCCTTTCATTTGGTTTTAGCTTTCTCACATGTGTTTAGTCTCATTTGATTCTTAGAGCATGCCTGTGAGGTAATTCAGAGTAGATTACAACCCTTCGGAGAGGAGAACATTTGTCAAGGTTATCCATCTAGTAGGTGAAAGAGTTGCGTTTTAAAAGCTGATCTTTTTTTTTTTAACCCCAAATTCATTAATTCAGTAGATATATTGAGCATTCATTTTTATTGCTTGGCTGAGGTACATACAAAAGCTAGTTTTTGAGATTAAATTGAGATAGTAAAATTATAGCAGTGCTTCTCTTCAAGGTAAAGTGTATTTTCTGCTCACAGTGAGAAGAGCTCAAGTACAGCAATCTTTTTAAAAAATGGACCATTTTTCGGAAACTTCAACTAAGGCTCTTGGGAAAGATTCTTTTCAAGTCTTTCGTCTTTGTTACCATTCAGATTAAGAGTCATTCTCTAGGATGTTAGGTCTGACTTAGTGATTTGCATAAATTTAACTCATATGAATCTAATGTCCCTCTTTGGCTTTCATCTTGAAGGATCACTCCAACGCCCCTGGGAGAAGGGAAGAGCACGACCACCATTGGGCTGGTGCAGGCCCTTGGTGCCCATCTTTCTCAGAACGTCTTTGCGTGTGTGCGACAGCCTTCTCAGGGCCCCACCTTTGGAATAAAAGGTATTAACAGGACTAGAATTTGGGTGGCCAGAGGGCACTGCTTCTCCTTCAGTCCTCCCGAGTCCACTTGACCCATGAGTGCCTGTGGGGCCTTCACCTCATTTAGACACCAGGAATAGCCTCTTGGCAACCCCCCATCATGTGCTTTCATCAGATCATCCCAGCTCTTGCCGTCAGTATTTGACACTGCACAGGGGTTCCCGGGGGGAGGGGGGGCGGGTACTGTATAGCTAGGGATGCTTTTATGTGACTAATAGTCAACTGTCACAGTAACAATAGAGGTAATCATAGCTACTGCTCATCATGCTGACTTTCTAGAGACAAAGACAAACACTACAGATGTTTTACCCTTTGGGGAATAAGAAAAGCCTACCCTTATTGAGTATATGCTTTGTGCTGTGTTTTGTGCTAAGCAGTTCATGCACTTCATAATATGAGATAGTTACTGGTATCACCGTTTTCCCAGTAGCAGCAACTGGGACTTGTAACTTAGTCAAAGGCACTTATTAAGAGCCATGTCGATTTCAAGAGCTTTCCCAGGACCACCAGCACAGTGTTTCTGCTGATTGCATGAAGACTTGACATCACTAATCATTCTTCACTTTTAGTTTTTGATAACTGAGGTACTGCCACTATGCTCTTTTAATTAAAATTATTATTATTTTTTTAAAGATT